TGTCAGAGTAATAGTTAAGATACCTTGCTTTTTGAGGGTTTTGCGTCATTTTTGGAAGCCTTCTGGCCCGCAGCAGTCAAAGGAACAGTATTAACAGCAGTGGAAACCAAAGCATTTACGTCGGAAGCGGCTTTACAACTAAACCGACAATCTTCACAAGTCATCATACAATTAATGCTTTCAACAAAGGAAATAAAGAGAACGAAGAACGAGCCAACAAAAGCACAAGTAATATATAGTAAATCCAACACCTAACCTCTTGTTATTGTTTCGCTTATACACTGAATTGGCATTGCTGTTTGGAGAAGAATCCGACACTTTGAAAGCTTCCTTAACATTCTTATTATTTGCAGTAGATGAGTCCTTAACACTTTTGACGACTGGAGCTCTAGACCGTCGACCTTTGTTGTTTTTGGACAAAGGAGGAAGATTCTGCTAAAATGGCAGTGAAAATCAATAGATAGAAACACCACCAAAGAAGATATTTACAAATAGTCAAGATCTTCTTTATCTTCTTTAAAATAACCAATATTACAGACTAGCAAATCAGATGAAGACTGCGTGAAGGGGAACAATTAATAAAATAAGAAAAGAAACCTTCACGCGATGGAACCACCAAAATTTCGAAAATAACCACAAAACGCCCTGAGCAGCCTCCCAGAAAAGTTTCGAGAAAAAGTTTGCATCATCAGAATAAGTCAGCGTATACTGTTGCCTTGGAATTTCCGCTGAAAAAAACGTACTTAACGCTCCTGAGGAAGGAAGAAATAGCAGCTTTTTTCTTAAAAGGCCAACATAAAAAGATACGCACCCCTACGATTATCATTTTTGGCTTTAACATTTGCCTCAACTGCATTTAGATCAAAAACTTTAGGCGCTTGAGCATACTGCTGCCGTATAGCTTCTTCCACTGCCCGTTCACCTTCCAAGTAAGACCATGCCCAAACACACACCGAAGCAAGACTGGAAAACAATCACAAACATAAGCATAATGTACCTCGTGAAAAATTACACGACTTAGAACCAGAAATCGAGATAAGAAAAAAACTGAAAAACTGGAAGATTTAAGAATTATTGATGAAAACAAACAAGAGCAGGGCAACCGCAAAGTAGTAAATCAGCCACTCCACATTTGGTCTCGGGAGCGCTGAGTGACACTTAGCGAGCATGTCAAATGGAATTGAAGCCCCCAGAAGGAACATCCAAGAAGTGCTGTTCATATGCATAAAAAACTGTAAAGCTGCTTCATTCCATGTCATTAAGAAATCTGGAGTATATCTGGAAAAAAAAAAAAACTTGAAATCAGTTCAAGAAAGTAGTTAGGTTAGTAAGTAAAACATATTAAGCTATTATAAATAGATATACAAAAAAAGCACTTACGCGATATCTAGAATATAAGTTTCATTTGGAGCTAAGCGAAATGGATGACAGTTGAGGATACGAAATCCTCGATTTTCGCAAGGAATGTAGTTAATGCTCATATTAACAACCGTAAAGGTTACTTCACCAGTGTTGACTACAGTGAAAGAACGCTTCACAGTAAGTGTTGTATTCAGCTTATGCACCAAACCTAAAAGACTATCAAGCTTTGAATGTTGTTCTACTTTTTACTGGTGCTATTTTAAAGTTATTTTAAGATTATAAATAAACGATTACTTTTTGCAAAAAATTTGTTCAACACAAAACCAACAGAAAATAAATTTACGCTTTGGGTTGTGGCAGTCAGCAAGATGATGTTTCAAAATTTCAAAAGTTAGCGGCTTCCCAGACCTAGCCGACTGACCGTCCACCTGCATATCGACACGCGATCCCTTACCATATAAAACGACAGGTTCTATCACAGTCAAATTGTTCCTTCAAAGATTTTCAACTAATAAAAAATCTCTGCTGACATTACACTGATATTAAAACTGTCGTAAAATAACTAGAGAATTCATTAAAAGTGGTATAACCAGACTATTAAAGTCAAAAATTACCTAATTAACAGTAACGACGACCTCAACGTATAATCATTCGGTAGAAAACCAACACGTATCCTTACTTTCATACCTGGACGAAGAAGCATCGACAACGTGAACCTAAGTTCTCTGCACTTTAGGAAAAAAAAAATTTTTTTTATTCAGATTTCTCAAACTGAAATTGCCGACAATTCTGTGGTTTTGCTGGCATGAAAAATTACTTTGGAATTTGTTGGCCTACAATCTCCTGTAGCTGTTCACGCAGCATAGGAACAGGACTGTCCGATTTCAATGTGAACAACTCTGTGTCCCTTAGGGAAAACATCAAAGTTTCATTCATTTCAATTGGCTCAGTTAGAGGCGAGTCAAGGTTATCGCGGAAAAATTCAACCAAGTTGTCGGCATCTGGATATATAACTAAAGGTAAGAGTTGAACAACCACAGACGTTGAAGCCGGATTTTGCAACGTCAGATTCATGATCTGTAACAATGACACTTTATGACATAAAAAAATAATTTTACCCAGGGTGAAATCAAATCTTTAAAAAATAAAACAGGAGTTAGCAAGTAAAAAATTTTGCAAACGAACTGTGAAGTTTCCGACGGCTGTTAATGGAAAATGAACTACGGAACGTGTGAGAAGTCTCGGCCAAATCAGCTCGCCAGTAACGGGAATCGGTATGTGCTGCACCTAAAATCATTACAATTAAAAATTTCACGGCAAAAAAATTATTTTGAATAAGTCAATATTTTTACCTCTTCCATTTTCCTCGATAATGAACAAAGATAGATGATTAAGCGAAACATAAGTAATCACCATACAGCAACATAAAGAGACTTCATAATTAAGCGTTGGAAAAAGCTCGTAAAAGACAATAAACTAGCCCCAAAAATTACGCGAGTTACAAATACACAGAGGAGTCAATCAGTGACTGTATTAAAGGAAAGTGCGTTTCTAACTTTAATGAAATACAAAATTTTATCTAGCTGCCCAGAAATCTACCAAATCCCATTGGGCACATATAGCTATTTCTAAACTTGGCTAAAAACTCCTACGCCAAATACTTAAATAATACTTCATTTTAATTAGATTTCAGTCGCCGCAAGTTTACAAAAAGACTTACTTCCCCAACTAACTCACTTATTCCGCTAACCATTCTATAAAATTCTTCATACTCATTAAAAATGCTAAAATACGTCAAGAAAACTCTAAGAAATTTTAAATGTAATGTAATAGCAATTTTCATACAGTTATTTTTATATCAAAAACTTTCAGGGAATGAAGTTCAAGAGCTATTAAAAGAAACTGACAAGATATATCTAAAGAAAAACCGGTCACCTCATTGGTATCCACAATAATTGTTTCATTGATGATATGCCTCCCTTGAGCTCGCATTGCAAACCAACGCTTCCTCAGCCTAGAAGGTACAATTATCCAGTAATTTCGACTCAGAGATAAAGAATAATGAAATCTAACCTCTTATAAAGATAAGTGTCAATTTCTGCTAAATTTTGTGGGAGTTTCATACCATATGTAAACCACTGACCTTCTCCCGAATTTAAATTGATGCCTGAAAAATGAAATGAGTGTACGATACACATAAAAGTGAAAAGTAGCAAATCCCTTAATTCTTCTCACCTAAATAACAATTATTTTCACCACAAGTCGCATTCGGTCTAAACTGTGCTCGACCAAGATAGGACACTTGGTTGCTTTTAAGAATTGGTGTTTGGTCGCCATCAAGAACCTCAAAATGCATCCTTGGATCTCGTGAAAGAGTCGAGATCCTAAGAACATGCATATTCCGCTTGAAAGTGCTGTAGAGCTGAAACGTTATTCGAGGATAAACGAACGAAATAATTGCGGCAGAATGTGTATTTAAAGTAAAATAGACTAGAGTATTCAAGAATTTGTTGAAAAACAATCAGATGTTTTAATTTCAAGAAAGGGTACTGAGATGTAATCTTCTAGTTATGTATACTGAAAATTTACAAAGGTTTCCTAACGTGACAGAGTTCAATACCAAATAACAGTTAATGCTAAACTTAAAATGCTCTCCCTCAGAAAATCGTCTGACTCTGAACTAGTGAGTCTTCCTCAGAAAATTTATTTCGGGGTCTACTTTTGTACACCTGAACGGAGAAATCTAACAAAGTAAAAATGCCAATTCACCCTAGTAATATTTGTAAAATAGATTACTCACTATTTCCAGAGGCACCTCACTAATACACTAAGCTTGAGAAACAAAATGACAGTGTTCGTGCAATAACTTAAAAAATCTGATGAGAAATTACCCATTTTTAATAAAAGCAAAGAGATAAGAAACCATCAGAAAGTCCAAGAAACAAACTGTTTTTAACAACTAAAACTTCAAAACCTCCCAGAAAATCAATAAGGATTTCTTCAAATGCAATTTAAGAAGAAACGCTGGAGAAACCAGTGACAGTTTTCAGTAAGAGACTCTGCTACAAAAAATTAGGCTATTTGTCAGATAAAACGATTTCAACTCAGTATCAGTATAAATTAAGAGCGACTTAGTATACAGCACTCCTAGTGCCCGCATAGACATATACCCAATCATATGTGCAAGACCACTTACGTAAACCTTAACAGTTAATACATAACCAAAATCCAAATGTTTCACCAAAACGGAAATATTGCAATCCTCTCTTGACAAACAGACCTGCTTAAATTGTGGTCGAAATAAGTTAGTGATTCAAACCACGATTGAAATGAAGAGTATAAATTAAGGACCATTAGAGAAAACGAAAAAGATGGTCAGACTGCACAACCCCTTCAATATCTAGACAGAGTTCGCTTGAAGAAACACTCATACCCTAAGTACATGTTAAAACAATGCAACGGCTTCCAAGCGCGGCAAAAAACCTTCAATATCTCTAGATTAACCTGTAATGACTGAAAGCCAATTTTAAACGGGAATGACTCAGCAAATACCAAACGTTCCGGTACGGATGCCACTGTACCTTCTTCAATTCCATACTTGACCGGAAATGTTCTGAAAGAAGGAATGTCACAGCTGCCACAAAAATAATAAAAAACAAATCAAGCTTATAAAGCTTCTTCTAAAACTTTTTATAGTAAATTAAGTAAACAGTGACGAAGTACAACACAACATACAGTTTTTCAAAATCAGTTATTATCGTAAAAGTATCCCTCAAGAGTATCCGATCCGATGGAGATGTCAGCGTATAATTAAAAACAGCAAAACCGCGTCCAGGGATAACGAATTTCATGCCCTAAGGATATCCAACTGCATAAGTTCTTTATAAAATTAGGCAAAAATTTGAAAAACTGCAGGAAGTAGATTTAAAACAATAAAACTAATATCAATTTGTAAAATAGTCCAAAAATCTGATAAACCTGTTTCCAAATGTTACTCCAATTTTTCCAATTATCTTCTGAAAGAACAGTTTTATTGCCTGCTTCAACACCCTTTAGTGATAGCGTAGTCATTAAAGGGAGACCCCTCTCCATCTTCCGAATTGTCACTGGCATCGGATTATTGTTTGTAACAGCAAACTAAAAATTTTAAACGATTGCTAACGCTAAGATTTTGCACGATATGAAACAATTTTGCTAGATAAACCAAGAACGAAAACGGAAAAGATGAAAGAGGGAAAATAAATGGAAAAGAAATAGAGAAACTTCACTCACTAAAATCGTCTTTTTTTCACGCGTACTCATTAGACCAAAGTCAAACTGCGACTGATCGAGGGAGTATAATGTGACCTGGAATAAAATAAAAATAAATCATCAATACCTGATTCAAAAATGTAGTAGTTCTTGAAGTTATAATTCACATTTAAGAATGCCATTAATAAAAACAGTATGCTTACATTGGCCTTACCTTCACTTTGCCGTTATGCACTGACAGTGGAACATGAAACGTCGTTACATTAGTCCGTAGCGTCACATATGCTGTAAACCCGTCAGGCTGCTTTTTCAAGTATCTCAACCAAAAAGCAGGCCTTGATTCACCCGGCAATAAAGTTACTACCCGTGTTAGAAGTTTCACCTTTGAAAAGATGCTAGGAAACAACAGCAAAAGTGAGTTATCTATCGAATAAAAACAGTTTTTTTGACCATTCAAAACCAATATATTCACAAAAGATTAGCCAAAAATAATGTTTAAGGGATGAATTCAAAAAGCAGCTAAACTTACTAGGAAGACATTTTTACCCCGGTCATCAACAGTAACATTCCAAACGGTAACGCCAAATGGAAGCGTGTTCTTTAAAGTGACGCTGTGAGTAGCAGGGGGGTTGACGTAAGATAGAAAAGTGGTGTCCTCTACGTCTGCCGACAAAGTTCTGCAAGTTAAAATTGTTCAGCAATGTCCTTGAAAAAAAAAAAAAAACCAATTCCAAAACGATTTTATTTTCAAGTTTTACAAAAAATAAAAGGGCAAATGACTGAGCTTCTTGACACAGTTTAACTAATCAAAAAAAATTAATATATACCCTGAATACATAGTAGCTACATAAGGGACTGAGATGTTGTAATTCCCACTTCGACTCTCAGCCGTTATCTTACCCCTATAACGCATATATTTTGTACCGGCAGGTATACGGACCAATTTCGTATCAAAAATTACCTTCGCAATAGGCTTTGGAGCACCTTAAAATAAAGTATGATCTCAAAGACCAGAAAAGAAGCTTACGATTAACAAACAAATAAACCCCACTCAATAAAGTTCCCTCGAAAAGCTGCCAGTGCAGAAGCAAATAAATATTTCTGTAGTTTTCATAGCAAAAGGCATGCTCCGAACTGCAGTTTGCCAAACAGGAAGTTTATAACCTTCCATTAGAAGAAAATTTACTGAGAAAACCGTAGAAAACTTTCTACACAAATCCTATCTTAACTTTGCTGAAAATGCAGTAATCTCATAAACTACAAAAGGCAAACCAGGCTGTTGTCTTGCTCCACATTTAACAGCGATTGGCGGTTTTGAAGCAAATTCCATATAAATACCACTTGGGTCATCAGTACCTTTCTCCGCAACATACAAGGACTAAAACGACTCACTTCTTAATTGTTCTTCAAACACAACAACCCCCTGTTTACAAAAGCATCAAATCTGCTACCAGCCATAATACAAAAGAACGCTTATCCGCAAACATTACCTCTATTTCAAGACCTTTTTCAAGCGTAGACACAACTTCCAACATTAACTGACCACTACGCTCTCCAATTCTAACTAGGCCAAAGTCCAAAATATCAGAAGTAGAAAACAGCCCACGCTTTCTCGTTATTTCAACCTGCAGGACAAGGAGCAAAACAATTAGAAGTAAAATTCCCATTTTTAAATCAGCTTGCAAACATTTTTCAATCCACAAAGCACCAGCAAAAATCAAAATTTTTTCAAGAAAAGTGATGCCCATCGAAAACAAAAACATCAATACTTCAACTGGAACAATCAAAGTGTCCTCCGACTTCTCTTCCATAATTCTGATCATCCCTTCGCTCCCTGTAACGTTTCTTCGCTTCTTTAAAGCAGTCTTTATTTTAATATAGGCTGTTGCATTCCGTTCCCTTGCAGCTAACACTTTTGCGTTCATAATGACTTTAGTTTGATAAGGAGCTATTTCCTAAAAAAAAATCAATCACTCACCTTGAGAATAATGCCATAATGAGTGAACCAAAGACTGAAATGATTAAATCCAGCCTCCATCATACT